TCCTGAAGCTGAGGAGCTGCTTGTATTTGTCGTGAGCTGTGCTGCTGTCTGAGATGCACCTTCCTCCCACGGCTGCTGTCCCTCCCTGCCTTGGGCTGGTTTCAGGAGTGCCCGGCCAAGGGTCACTGTTGATCTTCTCTTGGGTTTTGAGAGCATCATGAGCTTCCACCAAGCTCTAGGCTGCAGTAATTTAGTGCCTTCACCATCCAGCTCAGCCTCCTGAGGAGTCTCCTCCCTGGAGTGAGGAGGAACAAAGGGCTCATCCCTTCCCTCTGGATGCTCTTGGCTCCAGTGCAGTCCTGGGCATGGCAATAAATCAAAAGCTCTCGTGCTCTTCTAGAGGAGGAGCTGCCAAGACTCATCTTTGGCTGGAGGGGTCTCCTTCATCCTGGAGCTGTAGGCAAAGTGGACTGGCACTGAGTAGAAGGCTCTTGGTGTGGTGAAGCTGGGTGAAACCCCTGGACAGCTGCCACGGTGCTCATGTGTCCTCTCCCGTTTCACCCACCTGTGAAGGGACACAGGAAGAGAGGCCTTGCTTGCTGCTCACTTCTCTGGGCTCCTAAGCTCCCCAAGGAGTCCTATACAATCTATAGGATGCCCTTGCCCCACCAGCTGCCTGTTGGATCTCGCTGTCTTGCCCAGCCCCTCTTCCCGTTGTCTGTGCTGTGTGATGTCCTTCCTTCCCTCCTCACCCAAACCCCAGGCAGGTTAAGGATTTCTCCTTGCTCCCCCGTTGCTCTGCTTGGTTGCTGCTTTGCATGAGCCTCCCAGGACAGCTGGGTCTGTCTCAGCTCTGCTTGGGCTGGTGGAGCCACCCCACAAACCTTGTGCCAGCCCCTCGCTGCTGTCCCTGTCCCCTGCCCGCTGTGGCGCCGAGTTACTGACACCTCTCTCTGTTCTCTCTGTCTCTCTGCAGCCTTTACTAGGGAAGGCATGCCTGTAAGTACCTTCTTGCGTCTTACTCCCCCTTCTAACCCTTTTTTTTCCATTTCTCTTGCCATCCYGCTGGGTTGTTTTGTTGTTGTGAAWTCTGGTYGGAGTGTGGATGACTTGGTGTTACATTTTGCTGGCTTGGGGGGGATTTTTCTTAGGAAAAGTGGAGGCTGTGGGTGCTGGTTTATATCCTAGCTTGGTTGAATGGCCCAATTTTGTTGTGAAATTAGGCAAATTAGCACCTGCACTCTGATGGATGCCAATGGGTGATTTTCCTGGAGTTGTCTCCTCTGTGATAGAACTTTGTTCTGTAGGTGACAGGCCTGGGTGCTCTATCCTTCCTCAGGGATCAGAGTTATATCTCAGTGAAGGCACCAGAGTGATATCTGAGAAGCTTCTGACCTTCTCAGGAGAGTGTTTTCTGGAGCTGGATGATYCTGTGACCAGGCATCTGCAGTTCTGCAAACCTGGATTTTGGGAACAGTCAGCCTAAATGTCGTGGGCAGAGTAAATGCAAATTGTTCTTCTCTGCCTCTATTAAGAAAGTGAAACCCTTGAGCATTTAATGCACTAATTATGAGCAATCAAGGCTCTGGCAGTTTAGCTCAGTGCTGCTACATCCCACAGTAACAAGARCAGGACAAATTTGAAGCCTTCAGTCTTAATCCAAGCTACATCGAGTTGAGAGCAGCAGTTGTTGAGCTGTGCTCAAATGTCTTCCCAAAGACTGGGAAGGCTTTGGGGCTGAGTTGATGCTGGGGTAGTGCCCAGGGGTCTTTTTGCCCAGTTCAAACCAGCCTGTGAACACCCCTGGCTGGGGTTGTTTGTTGGCTGAAGATGGAGGGATCTGCTCAAATGAGGCCAGAGCAAAGTTCAGCCCTGCCTGCATTCAGCAGCTGTTGACCCTCTTGTTTCTTCCCCTTTTAGAGTAAATTTTTTCRAGGAAAGGGAAGTTGGGACTGTTGCACTTGGCTTTGCTGGTGGGTGGGTTGGGTGAGCTCATCGTGCTCCTGTGTGAGCCTGGAGGTTGAGGTGCTCAGCATGGCCTGCATGCCTGTGCTCCTTCCCTTGCTCCTCATGGTCACAAAAGCCCCTGGTGAAATGCCTGGTCCTCTTGGCTTGCTCTGAAAGCATTTTAGTTTCTTTGCCCATCCCTCCCTCCACCTTTTTCCCATCTATATTGTGATAAAAGGCACTGCATGCCTCGATGCTGGCTGGGACACCAAAAACAYGCTCTGGGTGTGTTGAGTTTGGGAGATGGATGTGTCAGATTTTGCTGCAGCAGGCAGTGATGGTTACCCATGCCAGGTGTGGGCTGGCAGCAGCAGCTCTAAAATCTCCAGCTKCTGGGAGCCTGTCTCCACCTCTGAGTGTGGGACTTAAAAAAAGCTGCTTTTGTCCATGAGGACACACCAAACTCAAGGCTCAGTGACATTCTCACTGCTGTTAGCCCTGGAGCTGGCTCATGCACTTCCTTGGTCCCTCACTGTCACCCCCTGCATGGGGCTGAGGAGTGGAAGGCACCTCTTTTATGACTTGCACTGTGAGCCTGGGTTGGTTTTGGGGTCTTGACCCCCATCCAGGAGGACCAGGGGACACCTGGAGAGTCTGGGGACATCTCAGTACCTCAGAGTCCTCTTGGCTGTGGGACTGAGTTGATTTGGGGTCGTGGGACTACCTGGYGTGATGGTTTCTTTTCCTTTTGCTTTGTTTGTGATCCAAAGTGCACTTTTGAACAGTCACCTGATCCCCCCCTCCCTTCTTCTCCCCTTCACTTTTCATGCTTAAAAAGAAGACCCGTTTGTCACTTTCTCAAAGTTTTCTCTTTGCTAATATTTCCAAGGTAAAAATGGCTGTGGTGCATGTGGCTTTTCCTAAYCCTCCTCCTGTCTCCTTAGATAACAGAGAGAACAGCTCAGCCTGCTCTGTCTCGTAGCCTGGCCGGGATTCCTGGTGCTTGTAAGAGGCAGCTTAGGTAGTAAAAGCATTTAAAAAAGACAAAAAAAAAACCCACGAAACACTAAAAAAAAATTGAGAATCCTTSCTAGCTGTTTCCTAGTCCTTTTTTCCCCCCTACTTTGTTCCATGTAGTTCTGTGAGTTGGGAAATGTCCTCGTGGTCCCCTGAGCTTCTCCTGGAGCGGATGCTCCCCTCGGGTTGGTCCTGCTTGTGTTTAGCTGGTTGTCTCTGGTTGTGTGGTCCTCACCAAAGGCTGGTGGGTGCCTGTTTTTGTCACCCTGCACCAGGGCTGTGTCTGCAGCATCGTTTGCGCCCATGAAACCTCATGGGCTGTCATCGGGGCAGTCGTGCTCCTGCTCTACCACTGGTGGTGGCTGGTGGGAGCTGCCTCTCCTTGGCACTGCCAAGGATGAACAAACAATGGCCTCGTCCTTGCCAGATGGGGGGGACACTGCCCACCCTCAAGGGGAGCAAGAGAGATGTTTAATTGGGGATTTGAATGAGCTCTATGGTCCCCTGTCACCTTGCCTTGACCACAGATTAGTTTCAGAAGCGCAGAGTGGATGGGGTGGGAGGGCTGCCTTGGGTTTAGCTCGGTTTTGAGGGATATCTAAATTCCCACCCTGTAATTAAAGCCAGGGAATGCTTGAGGGGGTGAGCAGCCAGTCAGTCACCTGCCTCCCTCCTCGGGTGGGCAGTGTCCTCTCCTCCATGGTGGGTGCTTCGTAGTGACCGTGCGTGGCTTTGTTCCTCTTTGTCCCCTCGTTGGCGTGTTTCTAGAAGTTTCTGAGCTGGGACCTGACCCCATCACAGCCCCTAACGCCTCTCCTTCCCCTCTCATTGCAGAACATGAACAACTCCCAGAAGCCGTCGTGACTCGSTGGGCGCCGTGGCGAGGCCGTGGGCGCTGCGGCCGGCGCCGCCAGCTTCTCATCCCATCGCCATTCCCGAAGCTTGCTTCCCGCCCGGGCCCCTCCATGCGGCCAGGCCGGCCCTGGGCTGTGTCCACTCACGCTGCCCGTTCATCCCGCTCTGCTGGGCGCCCAGGGATGCAGGAGAGCGGAGGAGGAGCCCAGCTTCCCCCTCGGGGTCACCACCAGCTCTTCAGGCGGCAGCGTTCGCTCTCCTCTCCRGCATCCTGTTAGGTCGTAGCGAGCTGTAAAGTGCTTCTGTAGCGCACAGGAGTTTAATTTTTCCTCCTCTCTTCAGTGGTTTTGATCTTCTGTATGGACGATTGGTACCCATCCATTCTCTGGGTGGGGTGTGTACATATGTGGATGGTGCGGGGTTAGCAGAGAAATAGGGGGATGGGGGGTGGGCAAAGGGGTTTTGCATTTTTTTTTTAATAATTATTATTGTTAATTACTTTTGATTAAGCCCCTAACGTGCTGTGCTGCAGTCCCTCGCCCACACTACAGCCTGTGGCACACGCCAGCCTGGCTCATGCAGGTCTGTGAGCACCAGGAAAGCAGCTGTGTGAACTCCTTCACTGCAACATCTGCTGGGTTTAATAAAAACAAAAACCCCATTCTTCCACTTTTTTTTTTTTTTTCCCCCTAATCGACATACCTTAAAGGGATTTGCAGAGAATGTAGATCTGCTGCTAAAACTGGTTGAAAGTTGCCTGCAGTGCATGAGGGACCATGCCAGCAGGGGCTCAGGTGATGCTTTCATCTTGGGGAGCACCCAGGGATGGTCTGAGTTCAGGCATGGGCTGGATTTTGGGGGGGCTGAGCACTGTTTGAGGTGCTGTGCTGGTACTTCATCTCCCCTTTCCTCTTTTTTTTAGATGGAAGTGGAGATATTGGAAGGGTTTGAATCCCTAGGCTGAGGAGTGAGATGCATTTTTGTAGACACACAGGTTCTCATGGAGGTGGCCAGAAGTCTGGCCGGGTTGCAGGAGTCCCTGTCTGGCTGCAAAAAGCCACAAGGAGGGACAGTTTTGTCTGTATTCTCTTATTTTAATTCTATATATACATGCACACACATGTGTGTGTATGTATATGTGTATATTTAGAAACCGCTTGGTTTTTGCACTTTATTTGTGGCAGAAGCATAACTACTTTATTTTTTTTCCAAGTTGTGCCCCTTAACAGGGGAAGCCTGAATACAGGCAAGTTTTTATTTTGTTTTTAATTGTGTTTTGCATGCTGGAAAGCTGGGACTATGAAATAATGGTAGTGACAGTGTTAAGAGGTGAGGGGAACAGGGTGAGGTCCTGACTGACCCAGTGGTTTGATCTGTAAAATCCCTTGGTGGCAGCCTGTCYTGGGCTGGGAGACAGCAGTGAAAAATGGCAATTAACCACTAWTGCTTTGTGCAAAAGTCTGTGGATTTGGAATTTTTTTTTAAGGGTTTTGGGTTGGGTTTTGGATTTTGTTTTCCCCCCACCTATGAGCATCTTCTCCATACCCATCTCGCGGGTGCTGGGAGAACTGGAGGTGGACAACCCTTTGGATTCATCCTTTTCACAACCCCCTGGGTAGGAAACACCATCCCCAGAGATGAGAATGGAGAAGCTGAGGGGGGAGAATTGATGATTATTCAGTGAGTGTATGTTTTTGGGGGAGGGTTTGGTCTGTTTTTCCTTTGGGAAAAGGCGAACCACAGTGCCTCGCGCTTCRGCCTCGCGCTCGGAGCGGCACCGACGGCGGGAGGGCACCAGGACCACACTCRGCCCATGTCCCATGGGGTGACAGTCCTGGCAGTGCCCTGCCTGTGTGAGCTTGTGCATATGTGTATCATATTCCTGTACAGATAAAGAACACTTCCCCCCCTGCTTTATTTCTTTTTTAAACAGCCTCATTAAAAGCAGACTTCTCCCTGCGTGGCATCTGCGCTTTCGGTTTCTCTGCCTTTCAGATTAAATGAATGTTTTGGGAAGGCCACTCACTTGGCTCTTTTCAGCCTCCTCCTTCCTGGGGAGTTTTTATCTCTCTCCTCCACCTGCTGCAAAAAGATAAGCCAGCAGATACAAACGTGACGTCTGGCTGCCCCGAGATCAACCCCTGTACACRTGTAATTGCGTGGATGTTTTGGTGTGTATTTGTGTATGTGTGTATATATATAAATATATATATAAAAACAGAAAAAAAACCCCAAACAAAATGGCCCTAAACTTTCTTCCTTTAGTAATAATAGATGTCTCAGTAAAAAAAAAACTGAAATTCAAATGTGGCGTTTTTACCAGCAATGGGAAAACTGATCTCTTGAATTCCTCTTGTGCTGGTGGAGGTGGTGGGGTGGTGTTAACCCTGTGCCATCACACTGCCCCCARAACTCACTGCCCATCTTTTTTGGTTCACAGAGCCACAGGTTGGGCAGTGATGCCATAGCCAAGGCAGGCTGGGAGAGAGGATGTATCAAACCACACCAATGATTTCTTCCCCCCCTCTTTTTTTTCTCCCTTATTTTGTTTTCCTTTGTGATACTTGAATTTATTTTTTTAATTTTTTTTTTTTATAGCGAAGTGCTCTTTATTTATTTAATGTATACTGCAAAGCTTGGAGAGAAGGGTGTAGTTCCTTGGGATTACTTTTTTTTTGTCTTGGATTTGTGGTATTTTAACTGTTCTGTACATACGTCTGGAATAATTGCCTGATATAAAGCTGTGCCAGCTTAAAAACAGGGTCTGCCTTTCAGAAATTTGTATATTTTGCAGTTGCTGGACCAATAAARTATCTTGTTGAAATACAGATGTGACCTGCTTCTTCCTTGTGTTAGAAATTGGCGTCTCAGGCCCTCAGGGTCACCATGTGCCACCCAGCTGCCTCACACATGTTCCTGTGCTTCATAAATAAATAAAAGTTTTCATGAAAGAGAAATCGTGGGTGCTCTATCCCTAGAAGTGTTCAAGGCTGAGTTGAAGGGGGCTTGGAGCACYCTGGGCTCWTGGAAGGTGTTWTTCACAGCATTATATAWGTTCTGCCATGTTAACACCTACTTAGAACAAGAAGGGTGATGTTTGGGATGTGTCCTGCCTAGATCTAAATCTAGGCAGCAAATTAGGCAGGACTAGGTATTTATTCAAACCCAGAGCAGTTCTTGAATGCAAATACCTGCTTAAAACAATTTGATGCTMAATGAAAGGCTGGACAAGAGCTGGGCTCAGAGCTGTCTTTACCCTGAAGGCAGGAGAACAGTTAGCCAGATAATGTTCCCTGCAAAGTTGTTTCTCTTTGATTAATTTATTGTTCCAAAGAAAAGGTGGAAGAAGGCRGGGAGAGGTGTGATTTGACACTGTTTATTGGAGCACACCTTGGGTGGATGCTTCCCCTGTGGTTCSACACCTRCCCTGCTCCAGCAGYTGCATCTCCAAAAGCCTGTGGGGAGCAAAAGGGGCTCCAAAATGCAGAGTGCTGCTCATCCCAGCACAGCTCCGTGGTTTGGCTCCTGCTGGTTGCTGTGCAGCCCTTGCTTTGCTCTCCCCTGAGCTTGCCAAACCTTGCTTTGGGTCAGCGCTCATAGGGATGCCCAGGGATCACCACTCTTCTTCCAGCTGCTCTGTGCTCCAGGACCTCTCACCAGAGAGGATGTTCTCTCATTTTAAGTGTAACTGAGGCATCTGCAATAATATTTCCTAGCTGGACGTGCAGATGTGTGAGGTTGTGGTGATGCCCATCCCTGCCTGCATCCTGAGGGCAGGGAGGACTCTCGGGGAAATCCAGCAACCGTAAGATTAACTTTTTTTTTTTTTTTTCTTTAGTTATTCTTTTTATCTCCAGCAACTTGGCCATTTCCTTGACCCAGGCAGAGACAAAACACTCGTTTTGTTTGAGGGCAAGGAGCGTGGCCTCGCAGGGAGGCTCTGATAACACCTCTAGCCAGGGTGGGCTGAGGTCACACGAAGCCACAACATCAGCAGCAGCTCCCCTGCCCTCCCCGGGGAAACTCTGATAAAATTTTGTCCTGATAAAACGGGGAAAGTTTTGCCTCCCTGAGCACGGATTCGGGCAGCAATTCCAAGGCTGCTCTGCAGGAAAATCCCCTCCTCCAAAAAGYCTGTTCTCCTCTTTCCATGTGCAGGAAGGGACTTGTGTCATGCCATCCCCAAATGAGGGAGGGAAATCAGTGCCAATGCCATCCCAGGCAGCATCCTTCATTTTCTGTCCATGTGATGCATTTTGTAGCATCACAGGGAGGAGAAGTTCCTTGAGGCAGAGCAGCTTTAAAGGTTATACTCGGCAGCAGGAACATTTCCCTGCTCCCAGTCAAGTCCCATTTTTATTAAAATTTAAAAAAATAAAGGAATAAACCCCCAGCTCACTGCTGGCAAACAAGGCGAGAGAACTTGTGATTGCTGAAAAAATGAAAAGGGCAGACCAGTCACGCTGGCTGACTCAGCTGTGATTGATGGCTCAGGAATGTGTCTGGGATTAACTAAACCGCGGGCAAACCTTTACAATGCTCACCTGCCTCCGGCTGGGGAGTGACTGCCCTCACATCATGGGGTTGGAGGGGATTGCTCTTCATCTTTGAGAAAAAAAAAAAATAGAAAAAGAAACGGATATTTTTTGGGATTTGCTTTGCGAGGCGCTGTAGTGGGAATTATTTGCAATATTTCCAGGTGTCTAGATGTGCTTGTGCAGTTTTTCTTGGGACAGAATATATTTATGRTGAGATTTGGAAAATTTGTTTTGTAGCTCTGTGTAAATCACAGTCTTTCTGCTCCGTGCCTAAACTCTGCCAAGTGTCAGGGTCCCTTCCCCATCCCAAGGGCAGCCTGTGTTTTATTCATAGTTAAGRGAAAGCCACAYGGATGTGAATATTTGTCCCTCACAYTTCCCTTGTTTKTGKGTCCACCTGTGTCCTCTTTGAGGCTGAGGGATGTGGTGGGTAGAAAAAATTGAATTTATTTTTCAGCAATTCTGGACATGTCGTGGATGGAGGAGCAGTGGTAAGAGTCAATACCAAAAGGGTTGACATAATCCCAAAATACCTGACCTAGCTGGAGATGTCCCTGCTCATTGCAGGCAGGTTGGACTAGATGACCTTTAAAGGTCCCTTCCAACCCRGATTATCCTATGATTCTATTCTAGGAAATTAATTTGCAGCGCCTACATCAAGGTTGGTTTCATCTCCCATGAAGTGCCCTGCTGTGTCCTGCTGATCCTCTGTCCTGCTCTGTGTCCCCATCACCTCTGTCCACTCTGGGGAGGCCATGGGTGGATCCAGCAGCTCCAGCTCTGCTGATGGTGGGCTAAATACCTTGTCAGGTCAKATATTATCTCCCACAATCCTCAGGACAATCTAATTTGCCACCTGATAAGACTGTGAGGACTCCTGAGCCTGGTGAGCTCCAGGGCAAGCCAGATAAAACCCAATTGATGCATCTGTCCACTYAGCCTTTTGCACAGTGAGAAGATAGATAATTTCTTGCTGATCTAAGATTTAACATGGTCTGAAGGGATGGTGATAACATTCAGGATCCCACAGGTTTTGTGAATTGCTTCTCCCTCTAGTAAAAGCTACAGAATCTGATATTGCAGCTACTCCTGGCCAGACACCAGCAAACATTATTTGGTCTTTAAGAGATATCTGAGTGCTCTTT